GTTTGAATTTGAAGTTGAAAAAGCTATTTTTGCCAATTTCTCAACTGGCAATAGTGAATTATAGGATTAATAGGATTATTCTTTAACAAGGTAGGACTGTTTATAGATACCATCAATATTTTTTTAATGCCGGAAAAAAATATAAGCTCCGTCCCTTTTTCGTATAATGAGGGCTTGATATAATATAGTCTCGGTCACCCAAAACCTCGTATATATAGTCTTCAACGTACGGATTTTTGTGGATGATAGAGACTAGATATAATAGCATCCCACACACGGCAAACCTCGGCAGATTCCGTTACTCCACATCTAGCTAGGTACTGGAATCGGCTGAGGTTTGCCGAGTGAGCATCCCACCCTGATCAGCAGTAAATGTTCCAGAGGAATGACATCGGTGCGGGTGAATTTTTTCCCTCATCAAATTAAATTCTACAACATTTTTTTTTAAGTATTAGAAAAATAAATAAAGGTGTTTGAAATATATCTGGATAAAAAATATTTCCTATTTAGTGTAAATGGGTATGTAAAATGAGTAAAAGGCACCAGTTCGCATTTGTAAACATTGCAAGCGCTACCGAGCCATTGATCGACACCGTGTGATGTGACGTCATACTAGAATACATTAGAATAATATTATGAACTTTATAAAGGTCAGTCATCTTACCCAGAGTTATACGATTGATAGCACCCACCAAGAAATGCCAGATTCACGTGACACTGTGGCTGTCACTCCAGCGGTGTTGTTCATTTTCAAACGATTATAAAATTTTGATCAATAAAAAATCCAATCCTATAAATATAAATTTACGTTTTAAATTAAATTCTAATTTTGATAGCTTACTAGTCACTAACCAGAATCAATTATTTTTTGTAACGTCAATGTTGCCCTAGAAAAAATTGTGTTTTGTCATTAACAAGGTGTGTCGAAAATAACTGTACATATTTACCGGCATAAAATTATCCTAATTAGACCATTTACACATTGAGCTTTAAAATATGGTTTGAATTTAAGGTATTCGGAAATTATGTCGAATATTCAAGACGTTGCAAGCAGTGGCGTAATAGGAGCGTCCGGGGCTCTTAGCTTTTTTATTTTTGTGATATTTATTTTATATTAAATTATTTTTTTTTGTTTAGTTTTTCATTCACAATATTATTCATTAACATTGCGATGCAGGCCCGCAGCTAGCCCCCCCCCCCCCCGGGTGAAATAGGCGCCCTTTCCATTGGACGCAATACGAAGCCAACGACCAACGTGCCCATATCAGTATCGGCGCCCCATAAAGCCGAGTGACATTGGTTGGGTGCCCATCATGTCGTTATGAATCACACGATTAACACCACAACTTGATTGATGGGGCGCCCATGATGACACGATTGGCGGGGCGCACATAATGCATAATGCCGAGTGAGATTGGTTGGACGACCACAACTTGATTGATGGGGCGCCCAAAACGGCGTGATCTGTGGGGTGCCTTATCCTGGAGGGGCGCCCATGATGACATGATTGTCGGGCCGCACATAATGCATAATGCCGAGTGAGATTGGTTGGGCGGCCACGACTGGATGAATGTGGCGCCCAAAACGGCATGATTGTGGGGTGCCTCATTCCGCGGGGGCGCCCATAATAACGAGATTGGTGGGCCGCCCACGACGAAATCTACCATAAGAAAGCCAATTGGAGATTATAAGAAATTTTCCAGGTCAAATTCACGACGGGGATGGGATTGATTCAAGCCCGCGCCAGGCGTGATAATCTTCAAAATTCAAACAAGTCGCACTCTCATAAATTATTATCTAAAGTCGTATTTTTATAATGCTCATATCAAAATATCATAATACGCCAATATCGCAAATTTAGCCTCAAAATTAAAATTTTCCGTCATTTTCACAGTTCCCTCAGGTGCAAACCCTGTTTTCCAAAATTTTCTGGGGAAGGGCACCTTAGACCACGGTGCTGTCCGACGTGGGCCGTCAAGTGCAGGTAGACTGACGCCCCCAGAAGCCCTTGCCCCCCCCCCCCAACATTTTTGGGCTAGCTACCGTAAACTTTTCAAATGCCTTATTAACTATATTAGTATTAACTGTATTAGAATTTCTCACTATACGAGCTTTAGCTTTGTCAAAGATATCAATAATATTATTTATATCCATCGCTTTGGCGTCTGCATTTTCAATTAGGCACGACAACAAACTTGAAGACAATAAAACATCATTTGCTTGATAAAGACGGAGTAATCTCGTCGAAACGTCGCTTAGTTAAACTCACTAATTGTGTATCCATAAAATTGTACCTTGTGTTAATATGTTCAATTACTAAATGCCAATCAAACAAGATCTAGTACGGTGTTCTTATATTCTCGGCGAAAAGACCGCAATTCGGAAATAAAATCATTGTTAATGCTTAATTCTTCGTCTGGTAGCTTTGGGAGATTCGCTGAATATAAAACCTTAAACACATCAGTTACCACCTTTTGTCCCTCAAATCTTGTTTCAATTATGTTATTGCAGTTTCAACGATTGGATACAAATACAGAACTGGGAACCCCCTTTAACTAGATCCTTAATTCGTTGGTCACTAGTTAGTTCTCCAAAGAATTGTTTTGTTCGTGTTTGTCTTTTTATACTGAAGCCTATCTGTTATCTTCCACTCAGAAACTAAAGCGCTCGATTTTAAAATTGTTTTGGACCATGAGTATCGCAGATATCCATGGATAGATAAGTGGTCGATGACGACAAATCAATCCCTATCGTTTGTAATCGTACAGATGACTTATGAATGGCCATTAAAAGTTGTTCCCAAATGATAATGAAGACCAAAAATTTATAGTTTCCCCATTTGCTTTTGCAGTGCAATCGCATCAGATCTTTCATTTTTAGATTTTTGCTCTCCAATAATATTCCAGTCAATACCTTAAGAATGTCAGCATATCTATTCTTTACTGCAGAACAGCATCCACGCATATTTTTATTTTTATTTTTTTTTTTTAATTCAAGGGTTTTTTTTAAAAGTCCCTTCGATGACAGCCGATTCGTCCCATCGTTTAAGACTACTTCCAAAAAAGCTAACAATTTCGGCCAATGTTCCAAAAAGGGTTACACCTTGGTCGTTTATGTAAGATTACGGGAAGCACAGTGGAGAAAGGGAACTGGGGCAGTTACTCCATGACCAAATAAAGCATCGCTAAAAAGCTTTTGTACGCCACCTTTTGATCCACTCATTACACCACCCATAAGTCACCAACTGTGTATAATAACGTTGCCTTCCGAACTATTGTAAATAATAAACATGGTATGAACAAATGATTACGAGAAAAATATAATTCATACGAATTCATACTTTTTATTCCAATGAAGGTCAAATGCGTTGCCGAATTTGGGGTAAAATACTTTTTTTTATTTCTTATGATAATACATGGAAGAATAATATATCTATTGAAATTATTTTCATCAATTAAACAGCCATTAAAATTATCTCAAAACATACAAGGGGTTTAAAGTAGCTAAGTCTCTAACTCAGTGATCCTCAACCAGGTGTGCCGCTATTTTTTCATGTGTTCCAAGGTGTGCCGATGGCAAAAAAGGGTTGAGAACCACTGCCTAACTCAATATCATCAAAAATCTTCGACATTGAAAACACGAATTATTTGTCAATTCAAACCAACATTGGTCTTGTGATCTTACAGGGAAAAGATGGGCTTCTGATATTCAATATTCAAGACAAAATAAACATTTTACCATTGGTACACGAATCGTGTACCATAATGCGTTTCAACGCCATTTGGAACAAGGGACTCAAAGAACAGGGCTAGACATATTCCACAAGTCACGTCAAATGGTGACGCTATATTCTTATCTGGAGAGCATGCGCAATAAATACCATCGGTGTAGACTGGAAAAACCAGACGCTAAAGATTGCCATTCACATGAGACTTCTGGCGTATTTCGCCGAACACAACTGATTAGAAATTACAGTAAAAACAGAAACGATTGAATGTAAATCAGTTTATATACATTCATATTACATTATTATATGCGTTGCGACCCATTTTTGTCAATTTCTAGGTCCCAAATATTAGCGATTTAGCTCCTTTAAAAGTTTATTTAAATGATTAAATAGAAAATCTTGGTTAAATAATCTTTCGACAATAAATCAAATATAGACACGTATAACAGATTGTGGTGGAAATTTAATGGAAACTAATTTGAACTTGTAATGGCGTTTAGCCCATAATTAGTAAGTTTAACAAATGAAAATTCCTACGTCTGTCGTCATACAAATGTGTAAATAAATGAAGTAAATATTACTACCCTCGGTGACCACATCCAGTAGAAAAAAGCAATGAAATGATCTTATTCGCCAAATTTTCTATTTAAACCAAGGAGTTTTGGTAACCGGGGAGTAAAAGCGTTTTGAAAACCCCTAATTTAAAGTTTTCCCAGCATATACCCTTCAAAAACAACACCCCAAATATCTTACCCATAAAAATGAAAACACAAAACATCGAACAAAACATGAAACAAAACATCAAATTCATTTTTTCAAAAATTTGATTCTGATTTCTGGGTGGAAAGTGAATATATATATAGATTTTTTTTCATAAAATAACATGCATAATTTGGCGTTAAGTAATCCCAGTGGGGTAACCGGACAACTTGGAGCAAAGAACAATCGGACAAAGACCAACAGGAGTCCACTCGGACCAAGATATACACTACTCGGACCAAGATTGAAGACCACTCGGACCAAGGGGTGTGGTATTTATTTCCCTTTTCAGATATTGAAAATTGTATCATAATAAAACTGTACAGAATTATGTATTAATTTAGCGTCTCACATGTATTACAGCCAAAAAAGAAACTACTTTATTCCCGGACTTTATGTTTTATTTACAATTTCGTCTGCTATATTACTGTATCTCATACTAATTGTCTGAGTGGGCGTGGAATTCAGTGTGCTCTATCGCATGTGATGACGTTTGCCTCAACACCGATTAGCTGTTGGGGTCAAGTTAAAAATGGCGGATAAAGGTTTATCATAGAAAAGGTTTGTCTCATTTGTCACCTGCTATCATTTCTTTGTCAAGCTTTTTTAATAATTAATGTTTTTCATATTGAACTGATACGTCCTTGTTAAAATTTCTGCAAATTTCTACGTCATTTATCATTGATGATTATTTTAACGGTGATCATAATTGTCACCAAAAAATGAAATGTTCGACGAACAGACGGGAGCCGTCAATCGCAATCGGAGTGTCAGTTGAATTCAATTCAAGCGATGATTGAGGATGTGGCCACTACTGCTGTCACTGAAATGATCCTAACAATTTTCGGGGATTTAAATGCCATTCTTTCTTGGACTGCATACATGAAATAGATTTGATAAGTTTCAATCAACTAGTACTACAAGATTTTCTGTTTTTAGGCCGAGGCCTATCGGTATATCACTAGTGTGACAGTCATCATTTATTGTAATTTTACCGGCTGGGACAAGGATGAGTGAATAGCCAAATAATTTGTCACTGTCAACCATATTATATTAATCTGACACTGTCCTTGGTTAAGACCAATTTTAGAGTTCTGATCAAGCTATTCAAGGGTGACATAAATGGGTATTGTCCAGACATAACTTAAACTAGCCTACTTCGAGAATAACATAGACTGTATGACTGTAAGTGTAACTTCAGGATGGATTACATCTTATCGTAAATGTTTTGGTAAGCTGGGTGCAAGTTGTTTCATGCTTAGTTCATTCGTACCTCACTTTGATTTGTACCTAACTTGAAATAAGTTGAAAGAAATTGAAATAAAGGTGAAACATAATTAAACGATTTGATAAAATCTGATTGCTACGCGAAATCTATGAAAATGACAGCCAAACCAGAATTAGAACACGTACATGATTTGTACCTCAGATTGATTCGTACTTTTTCCTCTATCTATGTTGTTGAAATAATTTGAATTAAACATAATTTAACGATTCGATAAAATCCAATTGCTATGTGAAATTTATGAAAATGGCTGCCAATTCAGAATTAAAACTATATGTTGTTGAAATAAATTGAAATAATAAACGATTGAAAATAAAATTAAGCACTGCTACATTTACAGTCCTATATAATACTAGACACACCATGTATAACTGCCTTTTGTTGTTTCTAATATGGTGTTGATTATTGAACCCATTCTGCTGAGTGAGTTGTGATTATTTCAAGACAATAATTGATCACCGAATGTTAAAGCGGTTAAAAAAACGTATTTAAAAATATTTATTCTGGTGTTGATTATTGAACCAACTGCTACTTCTGCATGTAAATGTTCTCTTGTTCTCTTGAAATTAACTAAGGTATGAAACGGTTCATGTGAGGTACGAATGAACTAAGTACGAAACAGCCAGGTTACTTATAAGCTCGCATTCAAGCAGGTCATCCTAAATGATAATAACATAAGCTAAATACCAGTTCTCAATTAAAAAGTATTTAATAAGAATATTACCTCATTATAAATAAACCCCCTGCGTTGGGTAGGCCTGTTTGATTATTTATTGAAAGAGGTTACATGTATTCTTTCTAAGTCTAGATAAATGATTTGTGGGATTATCATCATACATGTATGCAATTATGTACATGTATCCCTTACATCATATTATAATGTGTAAGTATACATGTACATGAACATAATAATAAGAACACTGAAAGTAAAATGCATTTTCCATTGTATGGGTTAAATTATATTTATAAGCTTTTTGAATTCATATTTTAAAGATATTTCCTTCTTGACTTTTATAAATTGATAGGCTAAGAAATAGGAATCAAGAATACAATACGTACTGTAATACAAAATTGTGCAAGGTTTTAGTAAGGTATGAAGTAAGGTTAGAATAAACATTTTACATTCCTTGATAATACATGTACCTGTATGATGAAAGTTTAATCTAAAGTTATGTTTTGGGGATAAGCAAACTTAGTTGACAATATGGTAAAACAAAAGCACCAGTGAGTAAGGGGTGCCTACATGAAAGGACATGTATGTTACCAGTATGAAAAAGTGACACTATGACTTTGTTTATTGGCACTAATCAAACACAAAATTGATTTGAAATAAAATGTTCTGTACCCTTTTTATACGCCCACATGGAAATATGGTGGTATATTGCAGACGCGTCCGTCTGTCCGTCGTCCACAATTTCTTGTGAACACTCTACAGACTACATTTATCATCTGATTTTTTTAAAATTGATATATGTTGTTTGCATTAGTGAGATGAAAAAGTCTATTTAAATTCAAGAACTTCCGTTAATTTCTTCTGGAGTTATGGCCCTTGTTTCACCTTTTTGCACCTTGTGAACGCTCCAACAACAAAAGTTGTCAACCGATCTATATGAAATTTATATGCATCATTTAAATTAGTAAAACAAAGAAGCCTATTGAATTTCAGCAATTTCCATTAATTACATCTAGAGTTATGGCCCTTGTTTCATTTTGTTGAATCTTGTGAACGCTCTTATGACAACATTTATCATCCGATCTGTTTGAAATTGATATGCATCTTTTAAATTAGTTCAACGAAGAATCCTATTGAATTTCAGCAATTTCCGTTAATTACGCCATGAGTTATGACCCTTGTTTCACTTTGTTGGACCTTGTGAATGCTCTAACGACAAAAGTTAATATCCGATCTGTATGAAATTTATATGTATCGTTTAAATTAGTAAAATGAACGAGTCTATTGAGTTTCAGCAATTTTCCGTTAATTACATCTAGAGTTATTGCCCTTGTTTCACGGTGGCTAGGTGGGTAAGGCGCTGGCTCGCTAGCCTGGAGGTCGGGTGTTCGATCCCTGCATTGGCCGAGAAAGTTCATCCCGATTTTCCGACGTGGTTTCCCCTTGTCAGTGATGCAGGGCGGAGGGGCTGACAAGGACAGCTGTCTAGTCCTTCGGATGAGACGAAAAACCGAGGTCCCGTGTAAAATTGGAATGCACGTAAAAGATCCCTTGGCAGTTGGAATTCGATATAAGAGTAGGCGATAGTGCCGCTGCCCGGGCAAAATTTCCCTCATAGCACACTGTATGGCGTATGCCCGTCTTCATTAGCCCAGTATAGGAGCAGAACAGTAGGACGTTAAACCCCCATTTCATTTCATTTCCCTTGTTTCACTTTGTTGAATCTTGTGAACGCTTCAACGACAAAAGTTATCACCTTATCTGTATGAAATTCATATGCATCATTTAAATAAGTGAAATAAAGAAGCCTATTGAATGTCAACAATTTCTGTCAATTACTTCTAGAGTTCTGGCCCTTGTTTTACTTTATTGAACCTTGTGAACATTCAAGCGACAAAAGTTATCATCCGATCTGTATGAAATTTATATGCATTATTTATATGAATTTCAACAATTTCTCTAGATTACTTCCAGAGTTACGGCTCGTGTATTAGTTTTTAGAACCTTGTGAACTCTCAAACAACGAAAATTATAATGTCATCTCACTCATCTGTATGAAATTGTCTATTAAATTCCCCTAATTACTTACAAAAGAATAAATATGCGACAACCCTTGTCGACCGCTTGGACGATTTAGCTGCTGTGGGCGTATGTTTTGTTGCCTGGCAACCTATCTTTTATTTCCCTATTGATCAGTTCTTGATTTTTAAAACTTTTTTACTAAGGGAAGGAGTTCTGTACAACTTAAAAATTTGTTGCTCAGAGTTAGTGTGGGTCAGTGCTCAGATTTTTGATAAATCAAAGTATTTAAAGTTTAATTTGAATATCTATTTAAAGCTTAATGTGTAATTTTACCATATTTTGGGTGAAAGTAATGACATTGATTGTTGATATAATATTTTAATAACGTAATGTGAAACTTATTATGAATGATTTAATTGTTTTAAATAATACATGTACAGTAGATCATAATGTGTTAAATACGTACATAAGTGATAGATTATATTATTCAGTGAGATACTGATAATATTCTTTCAGTATTTTAAATATGAAACCCAAGTTGTTTATGTTGATTATAATGTTATAATTAGCTAAAATCTTCTTTTGTTATACTTGATACCAGCTTTATCAGACATTGATTAAATTACCCTTATGACATACATTATTAACTATCATTAGCCCTATCATTGGCTATTTTATTTCCTATATATATACTATTCAAAAAAAGTAGGGGATATTTGATTTTTAAGTGTTATTAAAGTCACCTAATGAAACTGACGAAGAAACAAATGACAAAATGAAATGAAGTTCACATTCATCGATTTATTCCAAATGATCGTTAGACTAAGTAAGGCACAGACTGATCATTATAAGGGTAAAATGATACCCGGGGTCAAACAGCAAAGTTACCACAGCATCACAACCAAGTCAGTAACGGGTAAATCCTCCTCTGTTTGCCAAACAAGCATTGATCCGACGTGGCATACTCCTAATGAGACGTCTAAGGTCATTTTGTTCCAGATTGTCCCATTCCTGTTGCAACGCAGCAGCAAGTTCTTGGACATTGGCAGGACGTTGTTGACGTTGACGTAACCTCTGTCCAAGCATGTCCCAGACATGCTCGATGGGGGAGAGGTCGGGACTCAGTGCTGGCCAAGGTAATGTGGTGATGTTCTGTTGTTGGAGGTAACCTGTAACGATCCTGGCCCTGTGACATCTTGCGTTGTCATCCTGGAAGATGAAACGGCGGCCATGACGTCGTGCGAACGGCACAACATGGACTGCCAAGATGTTGTCCCGGTCGTACTGGCCTGTAACACGCCCTGCAACAACATGTAAAGCCGTTCTTCCAGCAACAGTGATGCCTCCCCACACCATAACAGAACCACCCCCAAATCGATCATGTCTGATGACGTTAACGTCTTGGAAGCGCTCGTTTCGACGACGCCACACCCTCCTACGTCTGTCCAAAAAATCAACAGTGAACCTTGACTCATCTGAAAACATCACATTGCTCCAGCGTCGATTATCCCAGTGTTGACGATCCCTACACCAACGACGTCTTGCCTGAATGTGATGATCTCTCAAACAAGGGATCACGCGAGGACGTCGGGCGCGAAGGTGACCCCTATGTAGTCGATTCCGAATCGTCTGGCCACTCACTCTCACACCAGTGTCTGTTTGAAGACGAGCGCTGATCTGATTTGCTGTGATGACACGATTTCTCAAGGCCAAGGAACGGATAAATCGATCCTGGGCTTGAGTTGTCGCCCTTGGTCGACCTGAGCGTGGTCTGTCCTGTACAGATTGTGTATCACGGTATCTGGACCATAGCCTGCTTATGACAGACTGAGAAACATTCATCGTCCGCGCCACAACCGCCTGTGTTGTGCCGATCTGTAGCATGCCAAGGGCACGTAACCTTTCATTTTGGGTAAGCCGACGCATATCAAAATTTGTTTTCTGGTCACTAAAACAATTAAACTGATGTTTCCACCCTGGAATTCAATGCCACAATGACTGTAACATTCAAAGTCAGAGTCGTGCAAATCTTGGGTTGGACCCCCATGATGATCCCAAGCATCACCTGCATTCCATGCAGTAGCTATTGGTGCGTTTGGGCGTCACATGTAACTGGAAATGTTTCTTCTGTTAGGTTCTATAGTGACTTTTTTCGTAGTCATTTGCATATTTTAGTATTATGCCCCCAAAATCAAATATCCCCTACTTTTTTTGAATAGTATATATTATAAAGTAAAGTGGGGTAACTTTGACACATCTTTGATCTTACTGAAGATAAAAGTTACAAAATTTTGGTACCTAATATTTCTGATTATTAAATGTACATTGTATGGAATAGATACCTGTAAACTACTCCCATGCATTTAATCTATTTATTTCACTGCATTAACGAAAAAAAATGTCATTCATCATTTGATGCTTACATGTCAAAGTTACCCCATGGTCGGGGTAACTTTGACAGTTTTTGTTTTAAATGTCAAAATTCAGGGAGTGATCTGTTCTATGACTGGAACAATTAGGAATTATGAATTTCACCCATTTCTGCATCAATGTACATTGGCATTCTTCATTATTGGCTATGACCTTGATAAAATGATACAACAAACTCATATCATCGACTGATTCAGAATCATCCATTATTACAACAATATGATTATCTCTTTTACACCCATCCATCATGCACTTTATTCATTCCTCAACCTTTTTTATTTTATTATTTAGAGAACTCCATTCTTTGTAAAGCAGAATGTAGAATAAATGCTTTTAATTCATAAAAAAATTTGACGTAGTTGCCTTTGCAATCTCACTAGCACGAGTTTGGGGTAACTTTGACACCATGTCAAAGTTACCCCAATATCAATCTTCTTGATAATTAATCAAATGTGTTTAATTCTCTGGCTAATAAACTGATGGATCAAAGAAAGCTACACTCATTTAGTATCTATTTTTGTATTAGTTGACTTTTGATTTCATAAATAAACTAACAGTCTAGAAAGAATACGTAATTCAGACTACTTCAGCTGTACAGTGGCAGCTTCTACTCTTGCAGCTGCGGAACTAGATAACATCACAGAAGCAGTGATATCGTAGGTGATTGTTAAGCACCAATTAATGGGTGATCATACCTTACCAACATATTACTACTTGGTGCTGACTATTTTTCCAAATGACATTAAAACAAAAACATGTCAAAGTTACCCCATGTGTCAAAGTTACCCCATTTTACCTTATACTCTTCAAAAAAAGTAGGGGATATTCAGAAACAATACAAAACTGCGGAAATGCACTGCTGTTTTTATTAGAGGTAACCAGTGTATGTTAATAACAGGCCAATTGCCTACACATGAACATAAACAGTTCATCTGGGTGGCTTATCTAATGACCCCATTTCACTCGCAAAGAGATGCCCCGTCAAAAGTGAAAATGGACGTTTTTGATTTTTGTCCTAATAATGAGTAATGCTCCACCAATCCTCAGACATTCAGCAATTCGTTGTGGCATGCTCCTAATCAACCGTCCAATCACGATTTGGGGCAATCTGACCCACTCCTCTTTTAGTGTCACGGCCAATTCTTGCAGTGTTGTCGGCTGACGCTGACGAACACATCTCCGGATCAAATTAAATGTAACACACTAAAGCAAAGATACGCTAAACAGTAAATCTTATGCAAGAACCGATAGGAAAGTAAACATAGATAGATAAACCAGCATGCGTCAGTTTTCATCAACCCTTCCTTGAAGTGTCAAATTTGACAATGAACCCCTCCCACGTGTATGGCGCTATTGCGTGTCGCACGTGCAGCTCAGTGTTTCTATTGGGGCGATAAGTTCTTCATCTGTGAACATACTCTCAAAGCATGTCAAGTGTTCATGACTATTTATCATATCACAACCTGCATAGGTATTTGCATTTCAATATCCCCTACTTTTTTGAAGAGTATATACATGTATTAAAAAAAAAAACTACATAGTTTACATGTAATATACACTGAGATTTTTGTGTCAGTTTGTACCAGTATTAGGGAAACGTGCCGATTTAAGCATCTGTGATAGTGAATATGATCTGTCAGTGGTCCAACCTGTTTGGGTTGTTTATTAATGTTATTTGAACATTATTCCCTATCACTGATATTAAGAATATCTAAAACCGTTTTATTTTCCTACTATATTCATGTAGAGGCTTAGTTTTCAATGCCCAATGACTGTACTGTATATTTGTGATTGCCTGTTTGAAGGGTTCTGTCGAAAAGTTATAAACGGTTTTCTGCATAATAACTGTACACATGTATGTGGAACCACAATGAGTTTGCTTATCATCCAGTCACAAGAACTAACAATAATATTTTAAAAATGCAAAGTTACTAGTTAAAAATAGGCAACAAATGTGTGTCTTATTCATGTACATGTATCTTTATGGTAAGCTTAAAATATTTAATTTTGTTTCGATAAACTTATTTGACTCATTGTTTTTTTTTTTATATTCTATTTTTAGATGTTCAGCACAGAAGATTTAAGAAAAAGATGATTGTTCTATCAAGCTGTCTCATTCCAACTTTCTATCATTCCTCAACCTGTCAAAACATCTTTTATAAAATAAACTCTGACATTTTTGTCACCAGTGCATCAAAATGGCTGGAAAGTAATCAACAAAGTTCTTAGTTTTATCCACATTTTTCCTTCAAACATGGATAAACGAGATATTTTACATGGCAGTAGACATCGAAGTGGGGCTACAAACTTGGAAAATATTGAAAACCAGCCCCCCCATACTCAAAATAGACTTAAGGGTATTGATAAGCCTGGGAATGTTGAGGGGGGTCAAAAGTCGCTAAACTTTGGATCAAATGTCAGTAAAATAAAGGAAATGTTTCAAGCCGGACAATCTACAGCAGGTAAACCTAAAATGGCAGAGTTACCTCCCCCTGTTTCTGGTGTTAATGAAGCTGATCGTTGTCCAGCATCAAAGAAACAGAAGATGAATGATTCTCCCGAACACCGGCATACTTTAGAGTCAAAACCAGACGTTGAAGTGCCTGAGCCAATTGACCCTAAGCTTCTGGAAGCGACCAATCATGTACAGAGATTTAATTATACTCGCGCCTTGTTTGCCAGAATGGAAGCTGAAACAATAAAATCTCAGGACAGTCCAGAAAAATCTAAATCAAAACCTGTTTCAACTCGGAAATCTTCTCCTATTCGTGTTATTCCTAGATCACCTGTATTGACCCCTTCTTCAAGTTCACCCACAAGTCCAGATGCACGATCTTTCCATGTAGCAGACACATATGGGGCCTCATCTCAGCGCATGTCGAGAAAAGATTCTAGTTCAAGTAGTCGTAGCCATGGTCCTCCAGTTTACTCACCACGTGAACGCTCAAACAGTGACCAATCGCGTCGTAGAAGTGATAAGGACTATCAGAGACGCACTCGTACAAATAGCGATTCCACAAGTGAAAGCACAGAAACACAAAGTATAGAAAGTCCAAGATATGGTAGTTCAACTAGCTCTGATATGAGTAATCACGGCAGCCCAAGATCAAAACATTTAGACACAAGTAGCACTAATGATAATTCAGCAAATTTACGAAGACGAACATTAGATGTTGAACACGTTGAAGATGGTAGCCGTGATCGAACTGGAAAATTTTATGGAAATTTGGGTGTTAACAATAATGCCTCTTCATCTGAGACTACTACATGCACGTCATCTATCAAATTTGTGCCAAAATTGACAAAACCCGATCCTGCTCCTTTAGGGGCTGAGCGAATCAACAAGCTTAATTTGCGAACAAACCTAAATCAGAATCAAAATGAGGCATCCAATAAAAGTGGTGTACGTACTCGTCAATATCCTGATTCCATTTCTAAACATTCCAAAGACAATGATCAAAAAGAGGGCAATAACTCTGATAGATTACGCAATACAAAAACACAAGATGGTGAAACTAATCGTAGACTGAGTCGTGATGATATAAAAGCAGCCATGGCTAAGGCTGATGCATATTTGGCTCATTTGACAGATTCCCCTAAAAAGAAAGAAACAGGCTCTGAATATAAACGTCGTTCGTGGGATCCACGGGATTCGAGCGAAGATAAATATAATCACAAGAGAAGGTCCTGGGATGCTCGCGATTCTCAAGAAAGAAAGAGTTTGACCGAAGACAATTTAGAAAATGGTTGTAATAATTCATGCACTGAGGATGTGATTGACAAAATGGATGCAACTGTGTCAATGAAGCTTAAGGCAGATCTTGGTTCTCCACGAAAAGAATTTATAGTGGAAAAAATTGACACTAAGACGCTTGTTTCAACTCTCACAAAACCGACTCCACTCCCGAAACGATCTGCTCCTGCTCTTCCTCTTAAACCACCATATCCCGGAAACACAAACTCATCGTCTGTCGTGCGACCCCTTGCACCACCCCCGCCTGCCCCTAAACCTGGATTAAGAGAAGCTAAGAAGTCCGAAGTAAGTTCAGTACCTAGTGAATCACAAAGCTGGCCTCCATTATTAAATGGTAATGAGGACTGGAGGAATACTGATCCCCCTGCCTATGAAAGGAGCAGAGATCCGCCTGCATATGAGGATAGTTTACGAGATACTGCCAGAGAAAATGAAACCGCTTTACTGGCAGAAAATACAGAATTACAAAACTCAACACCAAGGTTAGTCAATTTGACTTATTTAAATTTTTGTTTTACTTCTTTTTTGCAGATTTTCCAAATCTTATTTGGCTACTGGACACACTGGTGGATAGAGCAATTGAAACTACATATACATGTACATTGTACATGTATGAGTACATATATTACATGTACACATACATGTATGTACAAGATTAATACCTTGATTAAACTTGAAATAATAAACATTGATAGCTGACACCTTCATTACATGTACATCTTGAAATGTCCATGATGCAGTCAACTCTTTTATTATTGATTTGCAAGAACCCCTGCATCACAGCTTAATTGAATTTGTTCCATTTAACAATTACTAATGTCCACTCTATTCAACTTTGAAGGTTAAACTTATCTAAAGTTTACATTTTCTCATACAATGTATGTAATTGCATTCGGTGACCACAGCATAAATTCTACATATTGATATTGGGCCTGTTTACATCAAAGCATATGCTAGCATGTGCTATGGTGATGAGATTTCGGGATTGAGGGACAAAAGATCAGTTTGTTTGCCCACTCAACTCATCCAGACGTTACATATGTATCATGTACATGTACATCTACAAGGTATAGAAAATGCTTGTTCAGGGCTACAAGCGTAGACAGACCTTGAAATAATGATTTTAAACCAAATGTCAGCCTCTTTGGAAGTTGTACATGGCATTTATTTTTAAAACAACCTCCAAAGCACAGAAAAATGAGAAATGTGTGCAAACACTAAATTTAAGGAATTGTAATGGTTCATCTACATGTATGTACATGTACCTGACAACCCATTGATTGTGCCTAACATTGACTATGATCTGTGGCTTCCAATTGGTTTAGAATCCACTAATAAATAAATACCTTTTCTTCCGTAAAGCTCCATACTGTACTAACTGTAGGTTTGCTCATCAACAATTCAAAAGACCGAAATGTCTTAAATGTACATTTACGTAAACTTGCATGTACATATTTTACGGTTAGACTACACCCCATAATTTCAAAAAATAAATTAAATGCTAAGAGTAAGATGGTGATGCTCTCTAGTATCTGGACAGCAAGCAAATCGAAATCAGCTTTTATAGTAAACTTTGGTCGAGTTGAGTTGTTGCTGAATTCATCAGATCGTGCCTATTTTTGCACTAGTACTTGCTTCAGGAAAGAATAGTGCAAGAACCCTCAAAACCCTTGGATTTTGGTTTCATTACCAAACGACAAATGGGTCTCCTCCATTGTTTTGTTATTGATTTATTAAAAGGTTAATTCGAAGTTGTACATGTGCATACATGTACTGTATATATGCTTTATTTGTAGGTGAAATATCTGATCATTGATGGGATATTAATGAACTGTATCAAGTTTTTGAATTGAATGGAAAGTATTTTTACTCTCTGCTTCTTTGTTTTAGTTCAGAAATTTTAAATTAAAAACAAAAACTTTGCTCACTCGCTTCTTTTTATTAGATAAAAATCTTGACGAACGTAGATGATCAGATTGGTGTGGACTGATGTACAATGTACATGTGTAGTCTTCTACCATTGAACAGGTACATGTGCATACCGTATGTATATGATTTGCACTACATGTACCTGTACACATGTGATACAATAATCCACCCGGAGTTGCTTATACAGCAGAGTGGCTTAATCCATCCAGAGTGGCTTAACACTTATTGATTGGTTATTATGTCAGCATCTTAAATCTGCAAAAATGGCACTGCAGTAACTTGAGTCTGGGAACAATATACGTTATGATTCAATCAGACCCAGTGATACATGTAGCACTGTATGTGTTCTACTCAAAGTATCTTGTTAACAGTTTTCTATGGAGATTGGTTAATTAGAGTACAATTTGTAGATAATTATCACAATGTTTATTGTTTGTTTATAAAACAATGGCTTGTTATCATCACTCTAAGTGGTGATGGGTATGTTTACTTTCAAAATGGAAGTGCCACTGGATTATATGTATTTGCCTTGAACATAATTTTCACAAAAAAGAGGCAGAATTAAATTATCCAAGAGTCAACAGTTTAAAAAAGGGTCCATTTCAGCATAATCAAAATGTAAAATATTGTTTTAATTAAACATATTGATTAAAAAAGAAAATTGTATTGGGAGAAAAGTAGAAGATCAAATTCATGTTTCATCCAATTTTCTACTGAATTATTGCCCTTTTGTGGGTGGGTGGATATAAACTTTGGTGTAGACCTACAAGTATTTGATTGAACCAGGATTGTATTAGTACACTGATGTACATGTATGTAGTAGAGATAGTTACAGATCAAGTTCACATTAATTTTATAATTAATTACTTACATGTACTTGTATGGCCCTTTTGCCTTTTAGGGTCCATAGGGGACATGTATTACTTCAGCAAAACTCTCAGAATGCTTTGTTCTGTGATGGGTTTTTTGCAGGCACATTGTTATGTTTTTCTGTAAAAAAAGTATTTGTTTTGTAGTGTGTAGCCCATGGATGCTGTACGTTATTTAAACATCAAGTTATAAAGATTTACGTCTGAAATGTTTTGTCTATTACCTGACTTTTTTGTGTGTGTTTTTCCTCCATTAATTATTAGCACATGAGGTAAAAACCAAGCTTGTATTTCTTACACACATTTAGTTATTTAATATTTGTACATTACATGTGCATTTGTTTACCAAGATTGTTGACATGTATTTCAAAAACTTGTATTTTTTGTGGCTAGGCCTAAGGTAAGGTTGGGAATTACATTAAGCAAGAAATTAGTGCATTAGATATGAACTTGAAATTAACATTCTACATTTCTTTACCAACCAGGCTAATTCCAACTGCCAAGAGTTCTTTAATGTGACTGTGAGCATGAACATGTACAAACTAATATACATGTACGCTACTCCTTATCAGGCCCTGTGTCCTGCACAACTTACATACAATTTAAGGGGAAACAGGGGGGATGATTGTAAAGTCTTGCTATGTAAATTCAGGAAGTTTCTGGATGAATAATTAATTAATGGTCATTTTATCAAGGCTGATACAGCAGGTCACATTTATCCTCTTTTCAGATCGTATTAATTTTGCAATGAATTTCTTCTTTTGATGCATTTGGTTTGTTTATTGAAAATCATGTTTGATTCACTTTCTTAGAAAGTTTCTTATCAAGTTTTTCACATTTTCACTTTCTTAGAAATTTTCACATGTTTTAGAAGCCATCTGAAAGATTCATCTTTTCAGCATTTTGAAAGACAGAATGTTCTAGTTGTTGAAAACATTAGGTACTTTTAATAATTTATATTAACTGTCCTAAATTTGGCAGCTTAACTGTAAAAGGCACCCAAAACATGCTTTTATCACTTATTTAAAATATGTCCCAAGATACACTTCTTCACCTGTACTACTAAATGTACCCTTAATTTAATTACTTAAGACAACTGGAAGACAAAGACTTATTAGTCTGGTTTAACCAGCGGGAGAACTAAATTTAGCAGAATAAAGCTTTGTCTATCTTTCTGTTTGATAAAACATCTGTTCAAATCTGTAAAATTTTTATACAGTCTGAGTCTGCAAGCTGAAGTCTGTCTGCTACTGCCAGTGGAAGAAGAGAAGGCAGAGGTATCAAATTACCCAGGAGGTTTAATGGAGGATTGAAGGGATTGATTGAAGGCAGTGCAACCAGTTTTAGTTTACCTACTAACAACAGATGTAGTAAAATTCTGAGTTCTTGTACGTTGTTTGAAATTTTAGTTGTAAAACTGGCTTTTCTTGTAGTAAATTAGCAGAAGTAGAAATGGAGGTCGTTGATATTGTTATTCAGCTGTTTTTGTGAATTTGTTATATTATTTCTTTGCTTCATGGATTTTGTCTTCAAGAAAAAAATTCTTAGTTTCAACCTTATTTTGTGCTTAAAGAAAGATGCTTATATTTGTGTTTGTATGGATTAAATTTGTATCATAAAAAGGTAGGTGCTACCTACTGTTTATTATGTACTTGCATTTCTTTCAATTATTTTATTTTTAAACACTACAGTATGTTATATTTATATTTTGATCAACTTCTTTTACTCTTTTGATAATTCTGTGGTTTTCTTGGATTAGATTTGTGTGAAGAAGTTACTTGTATTACATGTACATAATCATTTAAGAAAAAATGGATTATACATCTATATTGTACCATATCAACTTTTCTTGTATGTTGCATTTTGGTGGCGGGCATAGTGGCCTACTATAAAGCAATTTTTCTGGGTAGAATTTAAAATTGTTTTCTTTTGAAGGAAAAATTACATAATAGTGCTAAATATGTACTTCAATAATGGTAATACAAAAAGTTCAAACAAAGAGTGAGATCAGTTCTTATTTATGCATATAGCAAACCTCACCTGATGTAACTGATGAAATTATAGATTGCGTTCATAACAGTCACTCTGATGATGAAATGAAATGGGAATTTTGTTCATACAGCTGTGTTTCATCATATTCTACTTGTCACAGGTTCCTTTGCATGTATTAAACCCCATTTCATTTCATTTCATTTTCTTTGCATGCACATTAATGAGTACACGACTGAACTTTGTTTTTTTGACCCATCAAAACGACTAGATATTTGTTCCCTTCACAATAATCCTTCCTGTACTATGGACAAGAGGATACCAGAGAAACTTTCTTGGCCAACACTGAGGTGGAACCCTGGGACCTCCTGGTTTTTGAAGCAGCACCACATGCCCTGAAACACTGTGGCTCGGGAACAAGGGTAGAAACAGGACAAACATGATTTCAACCTACAAAGGTACCACTTGAATTTTGGGGTCACCTAATTTTTTTCTATAATTTGTCATCATTATTTATCATTTGTTAGAATAAAGAGGCAGATGAACAATTTCCGTTGATGTCTTATTTGTTATCATTCACTAAATTTTAACAGTTAAAAACTTGGTAAGGTTTTGTAAACCCTTTTTTAAAGTAGCTAAGTCTCTAACTCAATATCATCCAAAGTCTTACATGTTGAAAACACGAATTATTTGTC